TAGATATATTAAAATTAAGATCTTCAGTTTATCAAAAGACACCACTGAGGCAGTGAAAGACAAGTCATAGACTGAAAGAAGACGCTTAAGCTGCAAACAAGTGCAATCTAATAAAACCCCCTTTATAACATACCAACGACCAACGTCAAATTAAATTGGGAGAGGCTGAAAGCTTTCCCTTTCAAATCAGGAAAAGGGAAAGGTGTCTGCTATCACTATTCCTTTTCAGTATAGTTTTTAGAAGGCAAGAATATTCACTATCATCACTCCTGTTCAATACAGTTCTCAAAACATTAGCTAGAGCAATCAGGCAAGAGAAAAAAAATAAAAGGGGATATGTACAGTAAAGGAAGAAGTTAAATTATCATTATTTGCAAATGACATGATCCTCTACATAGGTTATCCCAATACTCCACAAAAAGACTCCTAGAATTAATAACTAAATTCATTAGTATAGAAGGATATGAACTCAGCACTCCAATATCAATAGAGTTCCTATACTCCAGCAATAAACTCACCAAGAAAGAAATTAGGGACATGATACTTTTCACAATAACGTTTAGAAAAATGAAATACTTAGGAATTAACCAAATCAAGAAAGTGAAGGAATGAAAACTACAGTACTCTGAAAAAGGAGATTGAAGAGGATATCAAAAAATGGAAAGGCATTCCATTTCTGGATAGGTGGAACCAATATTGTCAAAATGGCTGTACTTCCAAAACTGTAGGTTGATTGCAATCCCAATCAAAATCCCAATAGCATTTCTAACAGAAGTAGATAAAAGAATCCTAAAATTCATATAGAACTAGAAGAAACCTAGAATAGAAAAAGCAATTCTGGGCGACAAGGGCAAGGCAGGAAGCATCAAAATCATACTATACTACAAAGCTGTAGGGGTAGAAATAGCATAGTATTGGCAAAACAAAGAAACAAAAATTAGACCACTGCATCAGTGGAACAGAATAGAGGATGCAGAAACACCTCCAGGCACACTCAGCTATCTTATGTTTGACAAAGGGGTGAAATCCTTTCACTAGAGGAGCAATAGCCTCTAACAAATAGCGCTTGGAAAACTGGCTATCAACATGCTGAAGATTGAACCTAAGTGTGTATTTCCAACCATGCACTTCTATAAAATGGATAAAAAATCTAAACATTAAAACAATTAAAAACACAATTTTGTGAAAAAAATAGGTAAAACAGTTGAAGACATAAGGGGTAGACAAGGACTTCATGAACAGAACTTTAGTTGCACAAGAAATTGTACCAAGAACCATCAAATGTTATTACATTAAATTAAAAAGCTTCTGAACAGAAAAGGAAACTACCCAAAAATGACAGAACCCATGGAATTGGAAAATTTTTTTACCAGCTACTCCTCAAAGAACTAAAATCTAGAATATATAGAAAACTCAAAAGATTAGAGCCCTCAAATTCAAAGAACCAGTTAAAACTGGGCATCTGGAATTAACAGACATTCTCACATGAAGAACAAAAGACCAAGAAATGCACGAAAACATGTTCAACATTGCTGGGCTTTGAAGAAATACAAATTAAAACAATGTTGACATTGCATGTCCTTACAGAAAGAATGTCTATGTTCAATAAATCAAGTAATAACAATGCTGGCGAGGCTGTGCATGGTGGTGGTGGTGCGGGCCCTTCATCACTGCTGGTGAGAGTGTAAACTGGTATTACCGTTATGGAAATGAGTATGGAAACTCCTCAAAACCTAAAACTAGACATTCTATTCAACCCAGCTATTACCTTTCTAGGCATCTTCTAGAAAAAGTTAAAGACGTCGTATTACAGAGATTCTTTTGTACCCATGTTTATAGCAGGACAATTTCTAATAGCTAAATCTTTGAAGTGGCCTATATATCTAACAACAGATGAATGAATAAAGAAAATGTGATATTTATATACAATAGAATACTACTCTACCTTAAAGAAGGCTAAGCTTGATTCATTTGTAGGAAAATGGATGTGCCTTAAGACCATAATATCAAGGAAAGTAAGTCAGACATAAAAGCTAAATATCACCAAGTGTGAGAAAATCATCATATAAATAAGGGGTAAAAGAAAAACTAGACAATAGGAAATGGCAAGGCGGATCTTTGGCATATGGGAAGGGAACTGGTAGAGTAAAAGTGGAGGGTGGGAAGGGAAATGAAATACAAATAAAAGATGGAATTATAAAGTATTGTGTACATGCACCAAGTTCCTTTGAGGAGCATGATCACCATGTGTTACAAAAATGTATACATAAAAAATGTAAAACGTACATGTAAAATACACATAAAGATATATACATACATAAGAACGGACATAGTATGTACATTATATGTCATAATATATTATAAACAATATATCATAATATGTTACAGTACACATTATATATTATACATGATACAATATATTATACATTATATCATATCACATGTATAACATTACATTATACTGTAACATAATTATATTATTATATAATTACTAATAATTGATATAGAATTATGTGTGTGTGTGTGTGTGTGTGTGTGTGTGTGTGTGTGTGTATGTCCAAGAGATGCAGGGAATAGGAAGGAAAAGAGGTGAAGAAAAAAAATGATTTAAGAAATATGCATGTACCAACTTTCCACGATGAATGTAATTATTATGTACTATAATGTGTACCAATAAAATAAAAGAAAAAAAGCAGAGAAGGTAAAAACCCTGCTCTAGTAATTTTTTCTTCCCACTAGAATGGAATCAGGGAGAAAATGTTTCTAAACAGAAATTATTTAACCAGTCCAATGTACTCAAGTTCACGTTAAAAATGTTAATTTACCTTGATTTACAATATCATTCTCCTGTGTATTCGATTACTTACAATATCTAATACAACACAATGTAATGGAAGTATTGTTTAGGGAATGATGACAACAAAAAATCCAGATGCGTTCAGTACAGATGTAACTGTCCTAGACCTAACTAGAGTGCACATCAACAACATAAGGTGCAGCCACATAACCTTTCCTGTTTCCAAGATTTAAAGATTGTGTTGTAACCACATAGCACCTCATTCACATGGATTCAGTGTGATGCTTAGTAGGTGGAAAATTCAAGTGTTACTTTTTGTAGCTTTCTGTAATTTAAAAAATTATTTCAGATCCATTTTTGGTTGAATCCAAGGATGTGAAACCCAATATATGGTGGGCCTACTGTGTATTCATTATTCTTATTCTTAGAGGTTTATAAACTGGGGCTAAGTTTCTCCAGCCACTTTTTGATTGGATGATGCTCATCTGTAAGAAAGACTCATGGATATAGTATCTCTTGGATGTTTTGTATTAAAAATGCTAATTCTTAATTTTGATAGTGCAAAGATAGCAGAGTTGAATATAAAGTTTGTTGATGCACATTTTCTTTACTTGATTATAAGTGTCATTAAATTATTGCCTTGCTTTGAATATTGGTTCTGAGAAATATGATACTTTTCAAGTTCTTTTGCCCTGTAAATTTTCTTTCTAGAGACTTTCAGGATTTTAAAATATTAAATGTGAATGATCTCAAGTTGTAAAAAATTTAAAATCAATTTTCTCATATACTTGGCTGATTCAATTAATACATAGATAAGATTTTATTTCATTTCTATATATTTATTTATTTTTTCTCCTATTTTTAAAATTAATTTTATTGGTACATTTAGTAAATACAATATAATGATACTGTTGGAAATTTGTATGTTGACATAATCAATCTTGGTTCTTATTTTTTTCCCATTCCCCTGCCTTCCCTTCAACCCCTCCCTCTCTATCTACGAAGACTTTATTTCCATTATTTTTCTGTATTTTTTGTGAGTTCTTTCATGTATTTACAATAGCATTGTATACTGAAAGCTTTCCCACATTGCTTATACATATATATAGGGTTTCTCCCCTATGTGAATTCTTTCATGCTGTTTACGATTATCTTGTGTACTAAAAGCTTTTGCACATTGCTTACATGCATAGGGTTTCTCCCCAGTATGAATTATTTCATGTATTTTACAGTACTTTTGTGTACTAAAGGCTTTTCCACATTGCTTACATACATGAGGTTTTCTCCCACATGAATATTTTCATGTATTTTGCAATAATGTTGTGTACTAAAAGCTTTCCCACATTGCTAATATATATAGGGCTTCTCCCAGTGTGAATTTTTGTGTGTATTTTACAGTAATCATGTGTACTGAAAGCTTTCTCACACTGCTTACATATCTAGGGTTTCTCCCCAGTGTAAATTCTTTCATGTATTTTATAACAACCTTGGGTACTAAAAGCTTTCCCACATTGCTTACATACATAGGGTTTCTCCCCAGTATTAATGTTTTCATGTATTTTACAATGATCTTGTTTACTAAAAGGTTTCTCACACTGCTTACATACAGAGCATTTCTCCCCAGTGTGAATTTTTCATGTATTTCACAATAAGGTTGTGTACTAAAAGCTTTCCTGCATTGCTTATATACATAGGGCTTCTCCCCTGTGTGAATTCTTTTATGTTGTTTACAATGTTGACGCCTACTGAAAGCTTTCTCACACTGCTTACATACCTAGGGTTTCTCCCCATTGTGATTTTTTTCATGGATCTGACATCATTAGGTGTGCTGGAGGCTTTCATGTTTTTCTTATATATAAAGGTCTCTGTGAGGTGAGTTCTTTCACTAAGATCAGAGTAGGATTTCCCACATGGATCACATTCATAGGGTTTTTCTACAGTCTTTGTCCTCACATGCTTCTGAAAGGACTGAAAATCATAGTTCTTCCATGTTCATTACCTTTACACAGCTTCTCTTCTGATCCTAAGTACTCAGATGTCTTCAGTCCAGTGTGAGTTAGTATGGGCACAGTTAGTGACAAATGCCCAGTCAGGGCTTTCCTCAAGCAAGGCTTTCAGCTGGTTTTAAACCACCTTGTTTCATCTCCACATTAGCATCTGGAGTCCAAAGGAGTACTTCTTCATATTGATTCCAAACTTCATTTCAACAGCATTTCTCTACCTCTTCATTTCTTAGATTTCTCTGGTAACTTTTGTACTCTTCTTCAATTTCCTGGTTGTCCCAGGCTCTTCCTACAGCAGCCATGTTCCTGAAAGTTTCCCACATCACATCTCTGTAGAGCTTCTTTTGGGATGGATTTAGCAAATCCCACTCCTCTGTGGTGAAGTTCACAGCCACATCCTCCAAGGTCCCTGCCTCCATTGTATGCCTTCAGGTTCTCCCAGGTCCTTCCCACGCAGCTTGCAGCCAACAAAGTCACAGAAGTTGGCCTAGCAAGCTGGTGGGCTCTCAGCAATGTCGCCTGGAAATTTTAGAACATGCAGTTCTGCTTGCCACTGTCCACAATCTTTGTCGTCCTATCCCAGCCTCAGTGTTAGGCAGTGTACCTGTGCGCCCGAGCCTCCTTTAGAAGTGAGTCTTTCTCAGCATTCCCAGCTCTCTTCCTCGTGTATTAGTGGGCAGTCTTCAGGATTTTCTGCTCCTTCCCTAGTAGTGGCAGTAAGTAATAATATCAAATTACATCTACTGTCCTCCAAATGAAGGTATTTTGCTTCTACGCCCAACCTCCAAGAAATAAAGGGTCTCTTTGCCCTTGTCATGGGATTGAGTGGGTTTACTACCCCTCTCAGAGGCAGAGGGATTTGGCTTCTGTGTCTCCCCGCAAAGCAGCATCTGCGTTCTGGGAGACTATGTGTTGACCCTCCATCAGTGAATTGAGTGGCCCAGGAAACAGTGGGGTTTCGCGCCTGTCCCCCTCACCAGCAGCCGTCTGCGTATCTGTGCCTGAGCCTCCCTTCTAGGGAATCCTTTTCAGTCTCCTGTTGGGTCCCCACTGTCTCTTGTGAACACCTTGGAAACGGCTTCCGTTCCAGGGCTTTCTGGAGGCGTCCCTGCTCTGGACCCCACCGTCTGGGACCTCGCCACTGCTGCTGCCCAAACTGCAAACTGATGCAGGGGCCATGGTGGAGTCCTGGGCCTTGCCGAGCAAGCGCCCTAGAGCTGGGGAGGGCAGCGCTCCTAGCGGCGAGGAGCTGGAGGGCCACGCCCTGGACTAGAACAGCTCTCTATTTTTTATTTTTCATTGACACGTGCTACTTGTGCATATTTGAAAGACTATAAAGTTTTCTTGAGTTACTGTTTAAAATATTAGTTCTAGGGCCTGGGATTTAGCTCAGTGGTTCTGGCGCCTGCCTTGCAAAACACAACGACCTGAGTTCTATCCCTGGTACCAAATAAACAAACAAACAAACAAATAAATAAATATAAAAAATAAAAATAAATAAATAAAATATTAGTTCTATTTATTGATTTTTTTTCTTTAGGGACTCTCTTTACACCTTTGTTGACTTTTCTTTATTTCTCGTTTCAACTAATGCTTCTCTTACTTTTTTCTTTCATTCTTAAAAATGTGTATTCACTCTGCTGTCTTCCTCCTTTTCTTCAGGGTCCTCATTAAATATGCAGTCAAGTCTATTTTAACTGTTATAGAGGTGCTGTGTGATTGGCCTTACATTATGATATATTACCTTCCTCTATTTCTTTCCTGAGATTAAACAACAAGTGTTTCATTTCTTCTTGTTTTTTTCCCATTTGTTCTTAGTTTTGTCTAAATTCATATCTCTTTTCATATTTCCAACAGGATTGACAATAATTTTCACTTGGCTTAACTGTTTTCTTTAATTTTCATTATCTAGAATTTTAAGTTTTTATTTTGTTTTCTTTTTATAGGACCTTTGCATAGAAGAAAATTGGACACATCTGTATATTTGGTTGAACAGTTGTATTGATTGATGTGGTTTCTTTGATTTCTTATTCAAGGTCACTGTCCTGTGGTTTCTTTAAAAGGTGACACTGGGGAATGGTACAGGGAGCTGTAGTCAGGTATACATCTGTGCTTTTATTTTTATAATTTAAAAAGATTTTCTGGGTGGTTCTTTATAGAGACACCCTCATTTTTTCTTTGACTAGTCTCCAGCGGACGTCTCTTTTCTTACCCTTTATTCCTTTACAATGTTTCTTTCAACAGGTTTCAAGTTTTGCATCCAATTTTAAGTCTCTCCCTATAACCAGTGCTCTAAGATTTCAGGACTTCTTAGCCATATTTTATCAGTTAGGATGACTTTAGCTTAATTAATTTCTGTTCTATCTTCCGCACATTCTGTCCCTGTCCCCCCTCTGTTCCCTTATCCCACATTCCTGGTTTTCTGAATGGGCTTGTGACAACATTTAGCTGGAAATGATTATTTATTTTTCCAAATCACCTGTATAGCAATTTTTATCTTCCACTTGTGCTGAAAGTATGGAATTTGTGTGGATTTATTTATATAAGTTGATCTGTATGTTTTGGCGAATGTGGGGTGGCATTTATATTTAGGCAGCTGTGATTATCTTGCATTTCCAGAGTCAGCAATCTTAACCACTACTCATTAATACTGTCTTTTAGATTTCACTGCCAGTTCCTCTTTCTGAAGGTATAATTTTCTTGGATTCTGTTTATGAAATCAGGAAGATTTCTCAGCTACCATGTTGCATTTGCTCTCTCCTTTGTCTCCTTCAGGGAGAGGTTTAAACTTACTGTATAATCTTCAGACAACAACAGCAGCAGCGGCATAACTGTACCATATTGTACCTTCAAAACGTAAGGAAGCAGACAACTGTGATGAAAATTAAATCTCATTCCATTCAACACTTATCTGCTAATGTGTTTTGGAGATCTTGCTCACTAGTTCATCAGAGATAATGGACAGCTCTGTATGGCAGTTTAGGCTGATGCTGGGTTCATGCTGTGTAGAATCCTACGCTTCACCCTGACTGTTGAGTAAATTCTGGGGTGTGTGTGTGTCTATGGCAGGTGGATAAAGCATGATTTGTCGCATATGAAGAGTTACATTTGACGTCAAACAGAAAGGGTAAGCTGGATTTTTCAAAGTAAACGTGCAAGGGGGCAAGGAAAGCCTACAAAAGCAGAAATTTTTTTGATCAATACCAAAAAGGCATGACAGTGCTTGAGCTGCCCGCACAGGGAAGCTTACCTGGCTTTAATTCGGTCCAGAATGGGTGGCAGGGAGGAGTGTGGAAGAAGGCAGAAATGATGGCAGATGAGATCCAGGCTGTGGTTAGAGCCAAATTTGAAGGGTCTTGCTTACCATTAAAATTAGATGTCTGCCAAGAAAGAAAATATATTTTTGGAAGATACATTCATAAACTGCAGCACAAACTTTTTCAGAGGAAAAGCCAACAACATGTCAAATAAGAATATTTTTAAAACCAAGCAGACAACTTTTTCTAGATAGTTCCTACCCCATGGTTTTCAAAAGCTGGTTGATAAAGCTCGATAGAGTATCATGAATATCAGCTGGAGGAGCTAAGAATAGCCAGCCACTTGAGTAGAGCTGTCTTAATTAAACAAAATCTTCCAGTGAATGCTCTCAAAAGACTTTTGGTGTAGATCTCTTCAAATTCATAATTCCAAGTCATAGACATATGTAAGCACTAAAGATTAACAAATAAGTTGAAAGAAAGAAGAAAGAAGGAAAGAAAGAACAGAGAAAAAAATAAACTTTTGCCATACTAAAACTGATTGCTTAACTCTCAGTTCACGTGGAGAGCTGTACCTAGGAGCTTTTCAGTGCCCATACTTTAGAATACAGGGGAAAAGGAAAAATGTGAAAAAAGGAAAAAATGGAAACAAAGTCTTTGTAAATAGGGAAGGGTGAAGAGGGTGAAGGGCGGGCAGGGGAATGGGGAAAAATAAGAACCAAGGTACATTACATAAAGGTACAAGTCCCCAGTGATGAATGTAATTATATTGTTTTCCTCAAATGTATCAATAAATAATGGGAAAAAATAGAATACAGATGTTCCTTGCCTGACAATGGTGTCCTGTCTCAGTAAACCCATTGTAACTTGAAAATATTGTAAATCACAAAAATACACTCAATGTCCCTGACCCATGGAACATCCTATCTTAGGAGCATAGCACATGGTAGAGCATCAGATTTCCCCCTTGCAACCTTAGGCCTGGCTAGGAGCTCTATCATGCAGAGGATTGTATGGCTGATCACTAATCAAAATCTACAATTTGAAGTATAGCTTCTGCATATTGCCTTTGCAACACTGTAAGGTTAAGAAAACATTAAGTCAAGCCATTAAAATGTAAACACTACTGGGGGCCATCAAAACTTATTAGCCAATGAATTCTAAGGCTGTTAATTTATAGAATGAAATGGGCATAAGACAAGTAGAGACAATCTAGGTCTCTACCTCCAGATGGGGGATTTGATTCCATAAATGAGTTGAGACACTGATTATTGGAGGAGCCCAGAAGAAGTGAGGACAGACAACCTCTGCCTGTTTTTCTGAGCATTTGTCCTCTCTGAGCACAGTTCAAATGATGCCCCATTGTTCAGGCCCTGAAATCATCTGAAAAGCAATAGGAAAAAAATAGATGAAGTTGTATACTCCATTCTTCTTAGGAAACAATCTCAGAAGAGACAGAAGTGAACTGTGGAAGAGACTGCTAATAGAGAGTGTCTGTTGGCAGCAACACTTTGGAGCTCTAAAAAGAATTGCCAGAATACAAGGAAAATCCTGAATTGTTTTGTTGCGGAGGTTTTCCTTCCATGTATTGACAGGTGTTGAGTAGGAGACGCCCGTGGCTCCCCCACATCCTCCGATTTCCTCACTCCTGTTTTCCTTCCAGAGGTAGAATTTTCCTTGTGATCTAGCTTGGGAATGATCAGTAAAGCTTCATTGTGCTGTTCACTATTTATAATAAGGCAGTGAGCACAAGTCCACACTTCAGGTCTTCACAAAGCAAGTTCTTGGTTTGAGTCATGGGGAAACCCAGAACACAAGAATATACACCAATTTGTTTCACTTCACTATTGGTTTGTCTTAGCTCCCTGGAAAGAATGTTTTGTGCTAATATGGCTCTCTTCCTTGTAAGAGAGAATCTCTTTGTTGATGTCTTGCATCATGAGTAGCTACTCTGAGGGCATTGACATGCAGTGTATTAACTGTTGTTATTCTCTTATGACTTAGTTATGAAATTTTGTATTTTTATAAAACAAAGAAACTATAGTGTTGTGTTTTTACCTTCCATACTGTTTTCAGTTATTCATAAACAGTGATAAATACAATTTTCTAAATTGATATTTATGTAATTTTAAATATTACGAGACAATCAACAAAATAGTAGC